GCTGATCTCTGCAGAAAATGAGAACAAAGCGCACAAACCTGGCTTGGAAACAAAACAACTCAGGCAGGCTGAATTACAAAAGAACGGAGTACCTTATTGCAGAAAGGTCCGAGAAATAACTTCCGGCACCTGGAAAGCTTAGAAGAAGAAAATCTGGCTTGGGAAAACCCTGAAAAAATTAGCACAACTTCTGTATTTAGGCCTCTTAAGAAATTCATGAAGTCTCTGACATGGAAGGTTAGCTCCATGCCTACAGACTACTGATCACCTAGCCTGGGTTCTCTTCTATGCTTGTGACACTCTTACACGTATTTTAATTGTTTGTAAAAATAATAATAATTGCATTTATATAGTGCATATCCACGCTCAACAGCATGTCCTATGAGTTTTACAACTATTTACTATTTGTATCTATTTCAAGATTATTATAAAATCTTACAAATGAAAACCACTTGGGAATTTGAAATAGACATTACCAACACACAAGCAATCCGAACAGAATTGTGAGAATATTCATACGCACAACTGCATATTATTTTACATAATATATCTACCCACAAAATGCATGCCCTCCTACACACAGATACACACTAGCACGTACACACATACTCTCTCTCTCTCTCTCTCTCTCTCTCTCTCTGTGTGTGTGTGTGTGTGTGTGTGTGTGTGTGTGTGTGTGTGTGTGTGTGTGTGTGTGTGTGTGAGTGTCCCCTTCTCTCCTTTTACTCCCCATTATCTCCGTCTCTATCTTTCTCCCCCTTTCTCTCTCTGCTCCCAACCGACAAACACCATTGGTGTGGGGGGTAAGAACATTTTACTAACAGACAGCCTTCAGATCAAGAGTGTACTTCATTCTCCCTTGATTTCCCTTTTTACTACAATAGAGAGTCGGTGCTGAAAACAACTCTTTGCTCTGATTTGAAACTGTCACATGAGCCAGTAATGGAATTGTCTGTAATAAAGAGACTCCTTTTTAAAAACTATTTGTGTCACAACGCAATGGAATCAGGTGCTCGTCAATTTTTGGGCCTGTAGAGGTAATGGTATCATCTTAGAGCGTGTTCATTTTTCTTGCATTCGATGAAAAAATACACATCTATCTTGAATAGAAGTCGAGACATTTTCGATTGGAGAAGGTGGGGGGAGAGGGAGGGGGGGGGGTAATCTGATTTCAGACGTAAAATTTTCGAGAAAATGGGGACCAAAGCCTGATATATTCCATAGTTAAGACCACTTGAAAACTATAAATTTGCATTTTTTTGGTGCCGTTTATCAAGTTTTTTTTTTGTTTTTTGTTTTTTTAAAGCAAAATCCACACAAAAAGTGATTTCAAGTTGGAATAAAAGGGATTGGGCCAAAAAACAAAATTCAGTAAAAACTTTCGAACGGGCCGGAAAATGCCAGCAATCTTCGATTTCATTATAAATTTTGACGAGCGCCTGATATCACCACGATGCCTCACATTTAGTCCTCTGTATCCAACCTCAGGAAGTAAACTTAAATGGATATTGTATGTTCCATTATAGGCTGTCTACCACCCGCATTCTTTGAAATTCTGCCTGTGTCTCCCGCGTCTGACAAGAACAGGGAAAATGCTTTTAAAGAACGACATGTCTAAATTTATGGCTCTCAAGTAATTTCGCACCCAGGGAAATCAGGCTGTCAATATCGTTGAATAATGTTGCAGAGCGCTTCCCATTCCTTCACACGTACCTTGAATATACCACATAATACCCCCCCCC